CAGCAGCAGCAGCAGCAGCAGCAGCAGCAGCAGCAGCAGACGACGTACTGTTGCCACCCGCTGCTGTCTTTTGAATTGCAGTGTCAGCCTGTGGGGCCGTTTCACCTGCTGCAGCAGCAGATGTTCCTGCTGCAGCAGCAGCAGCAGCAGCAGCATCAGCGTTGCGGTTGTCGCGGCTGCTGCCACAGCTCCTTCGTCCCCTTCCCCGCGCTGCTGTGCTGCTGCTCCCCGTCGCGCTTCTGCGGCCCCTCCTGCCCTTTCCAGCAGCAGCAGCAGCAGGAGCAGCAGGAGCAGCAGCAGCAGCAGCAGGTGCTGCCTTGCGAAGACGGCGAGCAGTGCGGGGCCGGCCCCGTGTGGGGACGAACTCCTCGTCGCTGCTGTCTGCTGAAGCTGCTGATCCGCACCCACAGACAAGCAGCAGCAGCAGCAGCAGCAGCAGCAAATAAGCGACAGTGAATATCAATGCAGCATTAGAAGCAGCAGCAGCAGCAGCTGCTGCTGCAACAAAAGAACAGCAACAGCAGTAGGAGACAAATAGGGAGAGACTTACCCGCTGACTCTTCGGATTCATCGCTTGTGCTGCTGCTGCTGCTGCTGCTGCTGCTCTCGCTGGAGCTGCTGCTGCTCTCGTTGCTGCTGCTGCTGCTGATGGTCTCGACTGTATCTACGCTGCTGCTCCTCCCGCTGCTGCTGACGCTATGGCGTTGAGCTCCTTTAGAAGACCTGCTTGCTGCTGCTGGGTCCGTGGCTGCTGCAGCAGCAAGACGGAGACGGCGGTGCTGCTTGCTGCTGCTCTTGCTGCTGCTCTTGCTGCTGCTGTTAAGTTCCTTCTCTGCTTCGAGATGCATGCGCGCCTGCTGCTGACGCAGCTGGGCAATTTCTTCCTGCTGCTGCTGCACCGTCTCTTCGTGCTGCTGCTGCTGCAGCTCCCAAGCGGCGTCATCTTCCCCAGGAACGGCCCGCAAGAGTTCTTTCGCAGCAGCAGCAGCAGCAGCTGCTGCTGCTGCTGCTTCGCTAGCTGCAGCGACAGCAGCAGCAGCGATTTCGGCCATACATTTCTCCTCTCCATCTGCCCCGCCACCGCCGCCACCACTACTACTGCTGCTGCTGCTGCTGCTGCTGCTGCTACCGGCTTCGTTCTCGGTCGCAGCAGCTGCTGGCACCTCAGCCTTCTCGTATTGTGACGGTGCATCCCTTTCCGCGTCAGCGGCCGAGGAGTCCTCCGACGCAGCAGCAGCAGACGCAGCATCAGCAGCAGCAGCAGCAGCAGCAGCAGC